TTAGTTTTAAATGGAAGAATACTTGGACTATGTCAGCATTGCCTGTCAGATTTTTTTTATTTATTATTATTATTATTATTATTATATACTTGCCGGGTGCTCAGCGTGGGACTTTAGTTATCCAGATAGCAGTAGGAATGGCAGCACTCACGGTCTTCAGTAAAAAATAAATCTTCTTTATTTGCAAGATTAAAACATGAGATCAAGGGATCAACGTTTAGGTCCTTATACAGGACTTTCATCACGATCAAAGTCCTGTGTTCTGTATAAGGACTGAAACGTCGATCCATGTTTTAATCTAGCAAATAAAGATTTTTTTTTCACTGAAGACCGTGAGTGTTGCCATTCCTACTGATACATATACATACATACATACATACATACACCAGGGGCGTACCTAGAACATTTGGCACCCGGGGCGGATCCTGTGCTTGGCACCCCCTTGCCCTCCCCCGCCCCCAGTGCCAGTTTGGCTCCGCCTCTGATTTTGCTTAGCTCCGCCCCACTTTTCCTCCGTGCGGCCAGTTTATCAGCTGTTTGCTTGTGTGAGCTGTACTGGCCACACGGCACCCTAACTACCATGAGGCACTGTGCGGCCACAGCTCACACAGCCCCCTCCAGCCAGGGCAAGGATTTTTGCCGCCCTAGGCAAAAGTAAAGTTTGCCGCCCCCCATGTGACATCACAATGCCCCACCCATATGATTTGCCATGTTATCTAACGCCAGTGCTGCAGTGCCGCCGTGTTTACATTAAAAGGCCTGCAGGGAAAGGCTATAGACACCAGAACCACTACATTAAGCTGCAGTGGTTCTGGGGACTATAGTGTCCCTTTAATGTGAGGTAAATTAGAGATTAGTGCCATGAATAATATACTAGATTGCCTACTTACAACCAGATGAGGATGATGATGGGCTCTAGCTGCAGTCTGGCTCCACTGGTCTGGTGCAGAACAGGCTCTCTGGAGGCAGTTTGTAACTGTGGTCACAAAAATCAATGTTCTGGGAGAGCGGGAAGCAGCTCCATTTTTTGGGGGTCCTTTACACAGCTCAAGGTCTGGGTCCCAGGGTCCACCTTCATGTTCCACCAATGAGTTTGTTCACAGGGGGTGGAGGGTGTAAGGGATGTCCTGATATGTGTGTAAGGAATGCATTGTGTGAAATTGTGTTTGTATGTGTAAGGGCTGCAAGGTGTGTTTCTGTGTATGTCTGGGATGCATTGAATGTGTGTAAAGGGTGCATTGAGTGTGTGTAATGAATGCATTGTGTGTTTCTGTGTGTGTAAGGGATGCATTGTGTGTAACGGTTGCATTGCTTGTGTGTGTGTGTAATGCAGTGTGTGTAATGCATTGTGTTTTTTCTGTGTGCAAGGGGTGCATTGTGTGTGATGAATGTCAATCTCCCCCCCCCTCCAATTTCCTTCTCTCTCCCCCCTCCCAATTTCTTTCTTTATCCCCCTCTCCCAATCTTTCTTTATCCCCCCCTCCAATTTCCTTCGCCCTCCCAATTTCTCTCCCCCCTCCCAATCTCTCCTTATCTCCCCCACTTCTGTTGTAGCATTGGCGGTACATACATCATGGTCCACACCGGGTGCAGGGAACTTTGTTTCATGCCGGCGGACTAAAGGAGATGCACACTGGTGTGTACTTCCTGTTAGTCGGCCCGGTGCAAGAAACCTCCTAATACCCAGCGGACCATATTAAAGGCAAACAGAGGGAGTGACAGGAGGGAGTGCTGAGCGCTTCCCTCCTGTCAGCCCCTCTCCTCAGGCTGCGCCCGGGCGGGCAAAGCTGCAGCCGCCTGAGGCTATCTACAGAGCGCTCAGGCGGCTGCAGCATGAGGGGGGCCGGCGCTCCTGGCGGCGCCCCCTCCCAAGGCACCCCCCACCCTGGTGGCACCCGGGGCGGACCGCCCCCCCCCCTTAGTACGCCACTGACATACACACACACACACTCCAGAAAAGTGTTGATGAAAACCCTTTCCACCTGAAGTAAGTGGATAGTTAATACATTGCTAAACAAAATAAGCTAATTTGCACACGCCTACCCAGAATCCCTTGGAGTAGTGAGGGCACTGTTAAAGTGAGATTTCTGTGGGAAAAGCAAGTCTTATGCCTTGACTGGTATGTGTATTTGTGTTTAGCAATGCATTAAAGGACCACTATAGTGCCAGGAAAACATACTCTCCTTCTCCTTTCCCCGTCATCGGTTGAACAAAACCAGGGTTATATGATTAATCCAATTTTTTTTAGCTAAACTATTTACTATTCGTAATTAGTCATTAGGTCCTCCTGTCAAAAGGTGTAAAAAAAATAAAGAAATAATGATAAGCTTCAAACATACCTAGATTCCAGCACTAGTGAAGCTTCCCTCTTTGTCTTACACTCCCCATCTGAAATCACTTTTTTTCCTCTTCGATGTCCAGTCAAGTGCTACTTCTAGAGAAGCATTTGCAGGGCCAGATTAACATAGGGGCTGATGGAACTGCAGCTCCAGGCCCATGGAATAGGCCTTCAAAAGCATAGAGCGAGCGTATCATGAGACGCATTTATGCCAAGCTCAGAATGCTTTTGGCCAGCAAGCAGCCTGACATGCATTAAGGCCAGGCTAGTCGTCCAATTCTTTGGGCAGACACGCCTCATTTTTGGGCATGTTCGTCGCTTTCGGAAGTTCTGATTACATGTTCCACATCAATGGCCCACCCTTTTACACCGCCCATTGACTTCCTGCATCACTGGACACTGCTGTAAAATGAAAGCATGTATTAGAGAGAGATTAGCATATTTTGATAGAATCTGAGTTTTCTTATAGCTGCATCCTATGAGTTTCCCTCCGGCAACATCTCCACCAGATACATAACGCTTGAGAGGAATGACTGTTTTAGTGTTTTTGGTCGATAAGATTCTGTACTTAGGCCCCTCGTAATTGTTAGCATCAGGCCCACTGGGCTCTTAATCTGGCCCTGAGCATTTGATTGGACTGTTCTCATCAGCTCAGATTCTGTATGTGCTCTCTGAGTCAAGAGATGGGTGTGGACAAGGAAGGGAATCAATAAAAATAAATTAATTTAAAAAAAGAATAACTTGTAATGGAGGGAGGCGTGGAGACAGGCTCGCTCCCAATGCTTCCTGTAAGAGTAGAAGCTGATCATGTTTGCTCAAAATTAACATTAAGCAGCCCAGAACAGATTTCCAGCCTGACTAAGTCATGTGAGCCAGAATGCAATTATGGCCCGGCACAAAAGTGCAAATATATCTGTATGTTCAACGTATCAAGCAGAAACACTGCACATACAAATTCCTATATATAGAGCAACCCTTTAAGAAAAGCTTTGATACGAGAACACTGAAATAAGGGCCCTAAATGAAATTAGTTACAGATTATGTATGATTGGTTTGCATAAGCATGACTTGCGGTAAATATCCCATCTGTCCCAGCACAGGATTATGAAATATGCACTTTGCTTTTCGTAGGAGTGCCAAGATTGGCTGAAACATACATGAAAACCTGGGTATTTTCTATAATTGAGGGACATTCAGCAATGTCACTTTTTTATGTTTGTTAACAGAATACTCTAAGCCAGGGCCGGACTGGAAAATTTGGGTCTGGAACTGGCCCGGGCATTTTTCAATCACAGCGACCCCTTGAGATGGTGGGGGGGGCCAGAGAGGCTGTGTTGTGTCATCACTAATGATAAGCACGCCCCCTCACAAAGTGAGCATGTTGGTTCAATGTGCAGAGCCCCTCTGAAGAGCTCTAGCATGAGAAAAAGGCCCTGTGTTTGTTCTGCGCAGCGCAAGCAAATTTAATAACATGCTTGTGCTGTGTTTACTTTTAACTTGTCTCTGGTGTCTCCATAAGTGGGATTGCGTGTGTGTAGTGAGTGAGCTGATTGTGGTGTGGTATTGTGTAAATAGGTCAATTTCGTTTGGTGTTATATGTGTGGCTAGGGACTGTAGAGAGTGTTTATTTAGGGGGCATAGTGTTATAGGGGATGTAGCGAGTGTGTGTGTGTGTGTGTGGGGGGTTGTAGAGCGTGTGGGTGTTTAGAGAATGTAGTATGTGTTTGTTTACAAGGAATGTAGTGTGTGCATAGGGGATCCAGAGTTTGTATGACAGGAATGTAGTGTGTAGGGGATCTAGTGTGTAAAGGACCCAGAGTGTGTATAGGAGATTGTGTGTGTGTGTGTGTGTTGGGTTCAGAGTGTATATAAGGATCTAGTGTGTGTGTGTGTGTGTGGATTAGATGATCTAGAGTTGGGTAAGAGATCTAGCGTGTATCTGGAGCGTAATGTGTGTAGTGGTGCAGTGTGAGGGGTGCTGTATTGTGTGTGTGTGTGTTTGGAAGTATTGTATCTGTGAAGGGTGCAGCGTGTGTGAGGGGATTGTGTGTGTGTGGGCAGGGAGGGGGCGCGGGGGGACAGGTTTAAATATATTAAATTTTTTTATTTTTTTAAATAAAAAACAAAAAACGTTATATCCACCTCTCCATTCTTAACTTTAGCCTGGGAGTGGGGCCGTGCTGCAGTCCCTGGTGTTCCTAGTGGTGAGTGAACTCTATCCTGCAGCTGGCGGCCGCATGTCTGTGCCTGTGAGCCGGTGAGGGAGATCTTTGATCTCCCCACGGGCCCATGAAGGCAGACAGTAGGGCCGGCGCTCGCATTTGCCCGATGGCCAGTCCAGGCCTGCTCTAAGCAGTATGCTCTCTACAGCCATTGATTATGCTACAGTGCTACTGTTATCATCGCCTGGACCTGTGTCAAACCGTTCTTGAGCAGTTTGACACAAGTTTGAACTAACACTCGCCGCATTGCAGCTGCAGATGTTGCATTTTGGCAAAAGCAAGTAAAATATTGTCCAAACGTGGATAACGTTTCTGCTGGCACTTTTATCCAGTGACGATGGCGTCCAATTTTAGCTGAAATTGACATTGCTAATTGCAGACTGCTCAAAGAATTTAACACTCAAAAAGGGGACACCACTAGGTGCCTGCTAACACCATAACCACTGCAATATCATATAGTGCATATAATGCTTAGTGTCACTTTAATTCCTTAAATGTCTTGGCCTTTTCAAGAATGTCATTTGTTAAAACAATTATTTTTTGCATTTTTGCTATGTGTTGTTCCTTTTAAGTGTACCCATACACAATATATACTGCTTTTTAAGGACAGATAGGGCTTGTTTCTGATGTATATCAGAATTCTAGTTATGAATAGTATTCTTAAATGGAAAAAAATGGAATGATAAAAAAAAATTGTTCTACACAACTAGTGCAACTAACTTAATTTGCTATAGATTCCTGCTTGTGAAAACTTCACATCTCTAGGATTTCAATTAATTTTTGGAAGCTATAGGATAAATATGACAAGCAGTGAATTGGGCTTTAAGACCAAACCTTAGTCAAAGTAGGTATGCAGATACTTTAATATTAGTTGCAGAACTCAAACTCTGTACACAAAAGTGTATATTTGTAGAAGATAGACCCATCAGAGTATTTAACTATTAGTATTTTGACAGTTTTCATTTTTGCTTCAACAACGGGTGTATGTACCACAAGGCAAACAAGGCATTTGCCTAGGGAGGCACTTTCAGGGGGGTGGCAAAAAAACGCTGCCCCAAGTGCCCAGGTAAATGCCTTGTTTACTGGGGGGCCCAAGAGCTGGCTGCCACCTTAGGGCCCCCCGAGGTGTTAAAGTACTAATATTCTAGCCAGGGCGATGAGGGAGAAATGTCCTTTTAGATTAAAAAAATTATTAATAATTGGTGAGTGTATGTGAAAATGTGTGTGTCTGTCAGTGAGTATGTTTGTGAGTGTCAGTGAGTGTGTGTCTGTCATTTTAAAAAAAGGCCTTGACACGAATTGGTGGGTCAAATTTAGATAAGAGGGTGCCGAAATTAGTCGTGCCTAGGGCAGCACATATCCAGAATACACCACTGATCAACAACCAAACTAAAACTGATGAGTACACTGAAATTTCATGTAAGTTGCCCTAACATGTCATTTTCGAGATTAATTCCACAGGCCGTGCATATCCCACTACTGTAAGGACCCCTTATTTGTATTTTGTTACTGCAGCCGAGTACAACAAAAACCCAGATGTACCTGTTTGGAAGCAAATTTGAATAACATTAGAGATGTGCCCTAACTTCCTTACTTGCTTCCCAGATATGCTTTGGCAGTCAATGTAATTAAAGGCAGGGAGCATACATTTTAGGTCATAGATGTGAATTCTTACTCCCTCAGTCTTTTTCTGCCACTTCAAAAGAGAAAAGGAATTAGAAAGCAATAATAGAACTACAAAGAAATCCAAGTTGTTCCATAAGGCATTCTATGAGTATAGTGTCTGGAAGACCCTTATACCAGACATGGGCAAGGATGAGGAACAAGGATCATAAGGACTTTGATTCAGAAATCATATTAAGAGAAAGCTTTAGGACAACTGAGCTTGTGGATAGACTTAAGAAGCCTTAATTGGATTCGAAGAGCTCAAATTCCTGTGCTTAAACAGGGTAGCACAAGAATAAAAGCTCTGGTAGATAAGTTCTCAGAACATGGATTGGGCAGAAATAAATTACTGGAAGCAATTACTGCAACTTATGTATACAACTTTATAGCAGACTATCTCAGCAGAACTTGTTGGAAACCAGCAGAGTGGTCTTTAAGCAAAGAGGTAGGCACAGAACCTGTGAAAAGATTCAGAAATCCACCAAGAGACATGGCAAAACAGAAAAGTAAACCGGTCTGCTTTCCTGTACAGGGAAGACTACCCAGATCTTGGTCAGATCAGGCTATGATGATAGCCAGTTCAAAATATTAGACAAACCGGAGTTGGCAGGGGAAGAGCCAGGAGCTTCAGATAATCCCACAGAAGAAGTTGGCTGCAACTACGAGGGACAGGTTCAGGTAAGTAAAACTCACCTTTCCCAGCATTGCACTGAAAGTGGCAAAGTCACCAAAATATAAAAAGACCCCAGAAGGTGACAAAGCCGCTTTAATCTTCCTATAACTGGCTGAAAAGGGAAAGAGGAAATTGTAGGTGTGCGAAATGTTTAATAACTTTTGTTGTAGCAGGCTAGCTGCCCCCTGGTTTGTAAAACAGCCTTCCTTTACTCCTGCTTATACGAATGGGGAAAAAACTAAGTTTTCAACCATATGCTTAACTAAATTTTTCTGTTCGTTTTACAGTTCATTTACCAAAAGGCGTTGTTTTGCTCAGCATTTATATATTGGGTGTTTACTGGAGAAATTATCTTTACCAAACACATGTTGAATTTTGCCTCACCCTCCTATATTGCTAGATTATTTTTACAGTTGCCTCAAACCGTAAACGTACGAGGCCAGATGTATATAAACTATATAATAATCTAGTGTCTACATACGTTTAAAAATTAGCCAAGTTTCCTCTTTCCATTAGATAAACCCTATAGTATACCATCATAGACAAACTACCGTAGACCCATAAGTATGTACGTATACTGGGTATCTCAACCTATTCACCCTTCTGATCAAGCGCTTAAAGGGACACTGTAGTCACTAAACCACTTTAGCTTAATGAAGCAGTTTTGGTGGATAGATTATGCCCCTGCAGTCTCACTGCTCAATTATCTGCCATTTAGGAGTTAAGTCACTTTGTTTATGCAGCCTTAGTCACACCTTCCTACATGTGACTTACACCACCTTACTAAATACTTTCTGTAAAAAGTCATCTAACATTTACTCTTCCTTAGTTGCACATTCTGTTTAATTTAGAATTTCTTGTCTCATGCTCTGTTAATAGCTTGCCAGACCCTTTAGGATCCTCCTCTATGTAATTAAAATTCAATTTACAGTGCATGCAGTGGCGGCTCTAGACTTTGAGGCCTTAGGCGAAACTCAAACAAGCAGGCTGTGTCAGTCACAACGATGGAAGGTGTGGCTAGGGCTACTTAATCCAATACAGGGGGGATTTCATTCCTAAATGGCAGAGAATTGAGCAATGAGAGTGCAGGAACATGATCTATACACTAACACTGCTTCATTAAGCTAAAGTTGTTTTGGTGACTATGGTATCCCTGTAAGTGTTTTTCATAGGACTTAAGATGTGGTCCGTACTGTTGACTATACCGCACTCCCTAATTGGACTGTCATATAACCTGTACCATGTAGGGATGTTACACTAAACAAGTTCAGTGACATTTACATTCTGCTAAAGTATATGGTTCATGTAGCTCGCTGGCCACCTCACAGGAGACGTATAATTTCCCACCCCCACGGTGCAGCGACTTTGCACCATACCTCAAACGGGAAAACCCCCCTCTTTCCAAGTTTTTTTCACTTCCCTTTATACCATGGGCCCAATTACACATACATCCTGTTACCATCTGTTACCCACATATTGCATACTCCAACAATGCATGCGGCTTGTAAACTATGAGAATACAGACCATTAATTTGTGTGGGTTGAACTCCCCACATATAAACGTGTTCTCTTAGAGGAGACCAAAAAAGAGAAAATTGATATACAATGCATCCAGGAGACACACTTTGCACACAACCGAAATTTGCCTTACGCATTTTCCCGACTCAATACCCTTCCACCCATTCATCAAAACTCAGAGGGTTTCCTTTTTGATACATAGCTCCCTCTCCTTTGAACTCTTACAACCCAAGAAAAATGCCCAAGGCAGGTACATCATACTACACTGTACTATAAATGACATTACGTACACACTGATTGTAATTTATGGGCCGTATGATAACCAACAAAACTTTCTACATAAGGTGCTCTCCAAAATCCCATCCCTACAGTTGCCATACCTAGTGCTATGTGGAGACCTCAAACACGTTCTACACCCACAACTGGATAAAACAGTCTCTGAAAATAGTAATTGTAGAGGGTGGGAGGAATGTAATAAGTCTCAGGATCAAAGGGCATGAACCCGATTCTTAAATGATTAGAAGGAGAGGTGTGTAGTCCTGGCTGGAGATTAAAAAATGTACTTTTGTTAGAATTAAAGGATAAAAATATATTGTGGTGTACACAATATGTGATGTTTTTATTACCTGAGAAAATACTGAACCTAAGGTGAATGAACTCTCTCACTCTTAGATAGAAAATAGAAAATCAAACAAGGAAAGTTGTCTCCTATTGTGCTCCCAAAATTATATACTTCTCCGAAAATACCCCAATGCAAAGTACTCACTAAATTATTGTTAGATTATGATGGGCGGAGTCGAGCAGCTAAGCTGAACGGTCGCACTCTCTATGAGCTCCATGGATATCTGCAAAATCACCCCAAAATACTCGACTGTTACCCAACAATTTTGGGTAACTTTTAACCAGCCCAACAGACTACATACAGATGGGCAGAAAAACGAATATAAAAGGACCTATTCCGCCCAGGCCGGGCAGGAGCATTGGAGACCTCTGGAAGCAGGCATGCGGCGGCCTTGAGCACAAAATGGCCGCGTACCTTGACTCAGACTTTTCTGATGAACTAGCACTGGGCAGTGAGGAAACATACTTACCAGCCCAGCCGGTACCGCATCTGCCACAACCAGACTTGTCCCCGGTTACCAAGGCCATCATGCAGGAATCGGTAGCGAATCTTCGTCGCAACATCCAGGCTGATGTGGCTGACATCCGGAAAGATATCTGAGATCTGACCGACCGATGAGAGCATGAGAGCCATGGAGCACAGATCTAAAAGCAGCATGCAACAGGTAGCACAGCTGCAACAAGAAGTACAGTCCTTTCGACAACAGCACCAAGCCTTTGAAACAAGATTTGCGGCACTGGTGGATGCCTGATGCAACAAGAATCTCAAAATCCGCGGACGCTATACCAGAGGAAGTTATCACACTTCTTATGTCGCCTCTTGGGCGCAACGCTATAGCCCAAACCTAGATGGCATGTTCCGAATACCTAAACCAGCTCATGCTCTGCCTGCAACATCCATGGACCTGATCGTGCGGTTCCAGAGCGAGCAAGATAAGGCCGCAGTTCTCAACATAAGTCAGGGTCACTCACCATACGCCTTTGAAGGCACGAGCTTCACCTTCTATGCAGATCTATTGGGGGGCACCCTGGCATGGCGGAGGTTCCTCCAACCGTTAACCACCCTTCTACGCACATGCAACATACCATATCGGTGGCGCATGTCACACACTCTGACGGTGCTCCATGGAGAAACCACCTACCCCATCAAAAACCTCCAGGAGGCAATGTCACTTGGACAATTGGCACTCCCGCTATACTCTCCAAGTCCTAAAGGATTGCGACTTGCCTCAGAATCCCCACTTGGGATTCGGTGAAGGTCACCCCATTTGTGCCCCAGGAGCCCACCCAGGACACTTATGCAGCAGTCACTACCTGAACTTCGGGACACTGCCCACTGAAACGGGCCCTCCATACCACCTAATGCTTAATTCCTGTCTGCTTTAGTTGCATGTTGTTACTTAATTTGTTGACTAGAATTGACCTGTCCCACGGACATAGCACAACCTCAGCACTGGTACAACCGTGAGTCTCAGCCCACTCCCCCGTATAGTATACGGGCACCCGTAGTATTGGTTTCGTACACCGAGTTAGACTCTATTCCCCCCCACGAATGGCCCAGAATACGGACTATGAACAGATGCATACTTCCTACTTGCCAAATACGACTACTCATGGTAGCGCAAATGTCACTACACGCCTACAACCCTACACAGTACCTATATTGTCCCTTCTCCAACCACAACTAAACGTGGAGTCCTCAAACCTCCTGGCCATAATATTTCCCTGAACGACATATAGACAAACTAACAAGGGGCCACAGACGGACATGGTCACCAGCCTACTCAGCAAACGGCTTAGGACATTGGTCTACAGGTTATATTTGAATTTCTTTTAACTCACGTTGCCCCTGGCGCAGTCAGGACAGATAAATTAATGAACACATGTGAGAACTTGTCACCTGTCCCTCCCCCAAAAGCACATAGGTGCCACTATTCACGTTCAATCTTTACGACTTGCACCTAATTTATAATTAATCGCGAGACACCACACTTTCTAGCCTTAAGCTTCCTGGACTAGGTAACAGACTATATGATTTTGGGTCAACGACCAGCATAGCGTCTATTAACGGGAGGCTTAATATCCCACGCTTATTAAGACCTGCTGGTCTTCATCCTAAAGTGTTAAGTTTTATGTTAATTTGGGCCTGTTGCCGTTTAATCTTACTTTTACTGGAGCCACCTTAATAGACAATCTACACGCTTCTTACGTTAGAGGCGTTTCTAGTTAATATGCAAGAGTGAAATTATGCCAATATTTTGATCTAAACTAGGCATCTGCTACTTACTCATATTTATCCTTGCATGCTTCACTCGATTACATTTCCAAACAAAAAACTAAAATTGTGTGCTGTTGCTCATGGCATGTTGTGCATTACCTTGTACCTTGAAACTTCATGCTTTGTTTACCAGCAGATGTCACTGTCAATAAGTGCAGACCTGCTTGCACACTCAAAAAATAAATAAATATGTACAACATCCGGCGCACTAGACACCCTAACAATTGAGTACACATACTGTGGCGGAACCAGCCTCGCCACTGGGCATTGGAGAAGACTGATTGCCAGCCTCCTGCCCTGTGACTATGGCCCCATGTTGAAATGCTTGATTTTCCCCTGCTTCGGTACTTTCCCTATGTGAGCAGAGTTACCCCAGATAGCTATGCCATGGAGCCCATTCGTATAACAAAAGACTATGTGAAAGACTTTGGCTCCATGGCAGTTGAACTGTATGTATGTGATCGGAGCGCCATTCAGTAATAATGTGCGCTCAGATCTAAGCTATCTGGGGATATGTACCTGTTTTATGCAATAGCTGCACAGTTATATATTTTATTGTATTTTGCTACCATGTGGCTAATGGAGTTTTGCCTCTGTCCTTGGAGATAATTGGATTACTTCCCAATTATCTCCAGGATAGAAGACTCTGTGGAACTGGTTTTTGGCAGAAAAGCCATGCTTCATTTGGTCACAAAGGACGTTGATCCTGTCCTGCTCTCTGAAGGAGTCCACAGTGGTTATGGTGTCGGCTGGAGTGCTTGGAGCCCTCAGGAAGCGCTAGGAGCATCCTTCAACGGAGGTAACCAGTCGGGGTGCCAGGTGATCCGTTACACATACTACTCACCAATGCACAAAACAAACTCAAGAATAGATTTTATATATTTATTAAGTAACCTACTGCACTCAATGACAGACTGTCACATTGTTGATAGTGTGGTCAGAGGCAGTACCCCATGGTGTTTTAATGACCCTTTGCTGAACAAACTAGACTGACCAAAAACTAAAGAAAGAACTATCCTCACACTTTGAGATAAATAACACACCTGACATCAAACCCCCTGACATATGGCAAGCCCATAAAGCCTTCAAACGCGTACTGGTAATCAGCTGAGCATCCTATCTTAAACGGACGTCACAACAGGAGTACACTATGTTACTCAAACTTAAAGATCAGACTAACTCACAGCTACTACAACCGACAGATACTAGACAACTACTGATTGAACAAATCATTAAGCAACCGAATGACTTACTGTTTAGCAAAACCACGTACATGCTACATAAACTACAACTGAAAACATACACCCAGGGCAACAAAGCCCAATCAAAAATCCCATACTTGGTGTTCCCCACAGGAAATAAGATATTTAACCCCCAGGATATTAACAATGCTATGGCAGACTTCTATGGAGTCCTCTATAATCTGGAGACCGATAAAGAGACACACCAACCCACATACCAAGAAATACAGGTATTCCGTTCCCAAATCCAACTCCCCTGTCTAATCCAGCTGCAACATGAAGCCCTTCAAACCCCAATCTCCCTCCAAGAACTCTCAGACACTAAACATTCTCTTACACCTGGGCAATCACCTGGCCCAGACGGCATTACAAAACATTCACCTCAATCCTGGCACCCCACTTGGTAAAGACCCTCAATCATTTCATAGATACAGGCCTATGACATCGGAGATGTTACTGGCCCACATTGTTACGCTTTCAGAACCTGTAAAACCCCCTATCAAACCTCAAAACCTGAGGCCTAGATCTATTGAATACAGACACCAAACTTCTGGCAAAAATATGTCCACAGACTCTCAAGCAGGATCCCTACGATGATACACACGAATCAATTGGGGATAATTAGGCAGGGAGCAGATGGAACAAGGAAACTCCTAAGCCTGCTATATGGTACATATAACGTGAGGAGGCCCCAGTGTATTCATCTCTCTAGATGCTGATAGATTGCACTGGCTTGTCCTCACGGCCGTTCTAACCAAATCCAACTTCCCACCGAAATTCATGTCGATGGTGTCAGCTCTTTATTCCAACCAATCCGCCAAATAGTGGATTTCTGTCCTCCGAGTTTTTACTCATCACTGGTACACACCAGGGATGTCCCCTCACCCCCTTACTTTACATCCTAGCATTAGAACCATTAGCATAACTCATACAAGAAATTCAAAACTTAAAGGACCACTCTAGGCACCCAGACCACTTCAGGTTAATGAAGTGTTCTGGGTGCCAGGTCCAGCTAGGGTTAACCCATTTTTTATAAACATAGCAGTTTCAGAGAAACTGCATGTTTATAAATGGGTTAATCCAGCCCTCAAATCCTCTAGTGGCTCTCTCATTGACAGCCCCTAGAGGCGCTTGTGTGATTCTCGTAAACGTAAGCGTCCATAGGAAAGCATTGTAAATGCTTTCCTATGACACCGGCTGAATGCGCACGCAGCTGTTGCCGCGCGTGCGCATTCAGCCAAAAGGGAGGAGAGGAGGAGGATCAGAGGCGGAGAGCTGCCCGCCCGGCGCTGGAGAAAGGTAAGTTTTAACCCTTTCCTCTCCCCAGAGCCCGGCGGGAGGGGGACCTTGAGGGTGGGGTCACCCTCAGGGCACTATAGTGCCAGGAAAACGAGTATGTTTTCCTGGCACTATAGTGGTCCTTTAAGTGAGGTCCCAATATGCAATAGATAATATAAAATCACGTTTGCAGATGACATCATGTTGTCCTTTATAAAGCCTGATATATCACTGCCGCAATTTCATTAAGTTCTTAAACAGTATAGTGCCTGCTCTCTACAAATTAAACATTACGAAAGCGCAGGTAGTGGGCATACATAAGCTCCTCCTCCCCAAGCTCCAATATTTGTTCTGCACGCTGCCAATAAAACTGGCAACCCACTAAATCAAAAAAACGCAGAAATTGTGCAATGGATATATCTGGGACAATAAAAATCCCAGATTGGCAGAATCTATTTTATATAGCCCTTTAAAATGAGGAGGGACGAGCCTACCTAACGTCACCACATACTAAATAGCAACCCAGCTCAGCCCACTAATAATGGCCTCCTACCATAAAAATCCACCAGCTTGGCTCCAGATAGAAGCCACACGCACAGGGAACAGGACATTGCATCATTGGCATGGACCCGTTAACACTTTAGTTTTAATACCATCATATTAAAACTACAACATCCCTAACTCTGACCATATGGGACGCAAAACGATCCACAAAACATACAAACCACCACATCTCCCCTGCAAAACCAATAAAAGCATTCACGTACCAAACTTCAACACCAACATGTGGACCTGCCACGGCAACTCCCTTCTACACCATATAATCCTCGAACAGGATCTCCATACCTTGAACACCTGCAAACCATGTATCACCTGCCCAATACGGCAACATTTTCATACCTACAAATCAAATCCTGGTTAAAAAAAAAACATAACACTACTGAGTCACAATCTGTATAGGGAAGCCGCTGTCAGATTTGGAAAACCTATGCATACAACAGACGCCAAGTATATCCTTCTATAACAGCGAAATCTTACAACAAGGCACTAATCAGCCTCAGTTTATCACAGCGTGGGAAACAGATCTCCAGAAAGCACTAGATGCCACCCAGTGTTCCAGAATCTTCTTAACAAACAAAAGATTTACTCTTTCTACATCACATATAGGACTGCCAAGGAAACATTTAGTGCCCACGAGACTGAAACACATAAACTCAGGTATAAGGTTCCTGCTGGAGATGCCTGACACTATCCGGCACTATGTATCATATATGGTGGTCGTGCAGCAAGCTCATATTATTCTGGAACAATGTTACGAAACTGTGTCACAAAGAGTGGCACTACCAAAAGTCCCAGAGATAGGCTTACTATAACTTCTCCCAGTAGGCATACCACAATCAAAACAATATTTGATATACCATAATCTTATAGCAGCACTAGCTGGTTTTAGTAGAACCTGGTTAAAAAGCACCATCCCGCAAATTGCAACATGCATCCAAAAGGCCTGGGATCTTTGGGTACACACAACCTTCACTTATCTCTAAAAACAATAGAAAAAAATGTGTGTATATATACTTCACAATCTGCTCCTCAGAAAGAAAATCACAAGTGCATGGCCCAACACAAGGGCAAAATGCTCAACACAACACCGTCCGAATCCGGCAGCTGCGCCCGTACAACTGTTTGGATGTGGATGACCCCACATGTGTGGAGGAACCCACCTGTGTTAGTGCGAGAGCCTACATGCAAGCATAGATATTTCTGCCTCTAACTCTGTAGCCATAAATGTTCTACTCTGAATACTGATACTTATATACATGATATTTGTGCTCCACTCACAATCTAACCAGTGATCCATTTCTGCTTATGCTTATTTTATGCCCACAAGCCTGTCCTCTAGCTTACCTCCGCAGACAACTCCCTCCTTCCCTCTGTCCGATATATACATAGTACGGATCGCGGTGAGAGAAGGAATGTGCAGTGCCACCTGCCACATCGACAGGACCATAGCCCTGACCATCAGAGGCTACATACATCCAAACCTGCACTGGACCTCCCCACCCCTTTTATCCCTGCCCATTCTTTACCCAGTTCGCCCTTTACCTAGTTACGCTCACAATTACTAAAAATCGATGCAATTGTACAACCAACTATACAGATCTTTTCAAAGAGAACATATATTCTATGATGAATGTCCATGCTAATATCCGTGTCAACACTGCTTTGTAACATGTTCAAATCACGCTGTACAATAGCTGTTTCGCTACTTCATTCTGTACTGTGCATTTGACAAACTGCTTATAAAAATAGTAGAATAATTAGGGGGATGCGCAAATAGACTTCTCCTTCAGTTCTTTGCTAGCAACTCCGTGAAGTGATCCCAGTGGCCAGGTTAGTAATTATTATTATTGGTATTTATATAGCACCAGCATATTCCGTAGTGCTTTACAATGTTATCAAAGGAGGAGATTTAACAATAAATGAGACAATCACAAAAAACTTACAGGAACAATAGGTTGAAGAGGACCCTGCTCAAACGAGCTTACAGTCCATAGGATGTGGGGTATAAAACACAACAGGACAGGAGAATAGCAATCAAACAAGGTGAAGTGAAGCAGAGCTGGAGGAGAGAATAGAGTGCTGCCCTTTAGGAGAGAGCAAGGGGCAGGTATGTGAGGTAGCGGTTTCTCTGGGAGGCCATAAGCTTTCCTAAAGAGATGGGTTTTGTGGCACTTTTTAAATGATCGAAGACTAGGGAAGAGCTTGATGGTCGTAGGCAGGCTATTCCAAAGGAAAGGATCCACCCGCGAGATGTCCTGCAAGCGTGAGTTGGCCGTACGGGTGCGAGCAGCAGACAGGAGAAGGTCATGAGCAGAGCGACTGAGAAGGGGCATACCTGCGGATCAGTGAAGAGATACAGGAGGGGCTAGAATTGGTCAGTGCTTTATAGGTGTGGATTAGTACCTTGAATTGACTACAGGAAGCCAATGTAAGGACTGACAGAGGGGTGAGGTGTGAGAGGAGCGACAGAAGAGGAAAATCAGTCTAGCTGCAGCATTCATTACAGACTGTAGCGGGGCAATACGACTTGTGGGAAAGAGTTACAATAATCCATGTGAGAGATTACTAGAGCATGGACAAGCTCCTTAGTACCATCTTGTGTAAAAAAGGGGCGGATGCGGGCTATGGTTTTAAGGTGGAATCTACAGGATTTGGTTACTGTACTGCTTGTGTTGTTCATTATTGTCTACACTCACACCCTTACTAACCGGATAAATAGGAAAGATTTGAGACTTTGTACACTTGGGTGTTGATATTCCGTACTTTTCATTTTTGCATCTAATTTCATTATTTTTCACTGGGCTTGTTGGCAGTTACTACATTCATGAATTGACAGACTTTACTGCTTGTTAAAATGCCCAATGGGTCTAGGATTTCAGTTCATTTTATAAGTTCTAAAACATAGCAAGGAGTGATTTCAGTTTTACAGCTAAAACTTCACAAAATTTGACATGCTGAGATTACATGTTTTATAGTAGTCGCAGAATCCAAAACCGCCACACCAAAGCATATGTTTGTAGAAAGTACGTCCGCCAGGCTGTTTAAAGGAACACTACAATGTTTGGAATACAAAACTTTATTCCTGACATTAAAGTTTCTCTCTTCCTCAGTGGCCCAGCCATGATAGGGTTTAATAATTCTTTAAACCGTTACCTGATTCCAGCTCCGGGGTCCCTCGGAACTGGGTTTGGCTCTTCCTCCTCTAACATCAGCTGATGGGGGGAACTTAAATTGTGTGCGCACATTAGGCCTTCTCCATAGGTAATCATTAACTCGGTGCTTTTCTATGGAGATTTAGAAGACACTGGACATCCTCGTGCAAAGCATCGGGAGGTCCAGCATAATTTCAGAGTTAAATGTGTAAATGCAGCAAATTCCTCTAGGAGCTATCTGAGAGACAGCCACTAGAGGCAGTCTTAACCCTGCAATATAAACATTGCAGTTTCTCTTAAGGGTACAGGGTCAACTTCATTGAGATTAAGTGTCTCTTTAACAGCATTTGACCATTTTATCATGAAGCACAGTCAAAATATTTAATACATTGTAATTTTTCACACGTTTTAATTTAGACGAACTTCACAGAGCACATATGTACAATGATGCCACACATGTAGCTCAGTACATTCCCTCCCACCTTCTGTTTCTCTCCCACCTTCTGTCTTTCTCTCCATTCTCCCCGATCTTCTTTGTCTCTTTCCATATTTTCCCCACCTTCTCTCTCTTTCTCTCCATATTCTCCCCCACGTTTTTCCATATTTTCCCTCCACACCTTCAACTTACTCCATCTTCCCTCTCCCCACTTAATCCTCCCCAATACCTTAAATGTTTTCCCCTCTCTCTCTGTCTATTGGTCGCATCCATACTTGCTTTACAGGGATGCAGTCTGGTTGAGCAGGATAGGACTGACTGTCCTGTTCAGTGCTGCTGCCCCTGAGGAGAGACTGGTGCCTGGAGCTAGGTGGACAGGACAGGCTAGCACTTAAAGCTATATCCCCACTATCACAGCCTCACTGAAATGAGAGGGAGCAGACGTGCTGGTAAGGGAGGTCTTATGATCTCACAGTGCCGTAGGATGTTCCTTGGATACTCCTATGTATAGCTAATACTTGGAGATTATTTCCCATTCAGCTTTTGAGGCCTAAAATTTTCGAATTCACTTTGGATTCTTGTCCGTTCATATCTTAGTGACTAACCCTGTAAACAGTAACACTAAGCCCTTTGTGTAAGTTTTAATATTGTGTAATAAGTATAGGTGCACTAGGTGAGAAAGGGGTGATTTATGCCACAGTTACACTAATCCTAATGTTTGTAGCGCTAACAAATCATGGTACTGAGTGATTTCTGTAATTTCACAAGTTTTAAACCAATATCTCTGTCATTTGTCATGTTTCTCCTACAGGAAGCAAAAATGTTTGGAGTTGTGGTAGTGGGAATTGGAATTGCCGGCTCCGTACGGATCAGAGACCTCCAGAACCCTTTGCAGTCAAGTCCTTCAGAGAACTTCAAGCTTGCTGGGTTTGTGTCAAGGTATGTTAAGGCCATTGGGCATGGTATGATGAATGTCATTTAAGCTCTAGTGGAAACTGAACACTGAAATTCTTGCAACACTTTATATTGGTGGAGAAGGTCATGTGTTTGTCACGAGTGAAGCCATATGTATCTGTGCAAATTAGAGCTTGTATGGCATGCAGATACTATGCAAAAACTTCTACAGGTAAGGGGAAACAAAGTCATAGGAAAAATAAGGTACACCCTCTTTAAATTCTATGGTTTTATATATCGGGATAAAACAATCATCTGTTCCTTAGCAGGACTTTAACAATTGTACATATATTACCAATTCTCCAAAGGTATGCAAACTTTTGAGCACAATTAAATGATTGAAGAGTATTGACTGGCATTTTCAAGGCTTTGGATATGTTTTTTTTTTTATATCCCTTTCCTTCTTTATAAAGTTCCATCATCTTGTTACGCAGCTCTTTTGACCGTTTTTTTTCTGCTCCCCATGGCTCAGTACCTAGCCTGCTCAGTGCATCCAAGTGAGAGCTAACAAACTCATTGTCCATTTGTACACAGATACTAACTGCAATTTAAAACGCCATGTGTAGGAAATTACCCTTTAATTGTCATTTTAACCTGTGTGTGTCACCTCGTGTGTCTATAACAAGGCCAAACATTCTAGGGTATGTAAACTTTTGATCAAGGCCATTTGGGTGATCTCTGTTATCATGATTTTAAAAGGAGCCATGTGACATATATAAATTGCTTCATATAATCACTATCCTTTAATAAAAGACATGTTTTTGCATGATCAATCATATTTTCAAAATCAATGACACAAATTTCACAATTTTTGCCAGGGTATGCAAACGTTTGAGCACGTCATGTGTCCTTAAGGGGTTAAAGATGAAACACTGCTCACCCAGATTCCTACCTACAATAAGCAGAAGTTTGTTGTCACGGTGTTTGGAGTAACCCTTCAAATCAAATGTGTTATAACGCAAGAAAAGGAGAATTTAGACTGCCTCAACCAACAAATAACTAGTGATGTCCCGAACGGTTCGCCACAAACGGTTCGCCACGGACTCATCATTGAGTAAACTTTGACCCTGTACCTCACAGTCAGCAGACACATTCCAGCCAATCAGCAGCAGACCCTCCCTCCCAGACCCTCCCACCTCCTGGACAGCATCCATTTTACATTCATTGTGAAGCTGTATTCTTAGTGAGCTGTCCAGGAGGTGGGAGGGTCTGGGAGGGAGGGTCTGCTGCTGATTGGCTGGAATGTGTCTGCTGACTGTGAGGTACAGGTCAAAGTTTACTCAATGATGAGTCCGCGGCGAACCGTTCGGCGAACTGCTCGGGACATCACTACAAATAACCACTTAATTACAAAACTTACCAACGTTTCTTCTGTGGGTTTCTCCTTATTTTTTTATATTCTATAACCCGACATTGGATTAAGAATAAACACATAAAGGCCCATTTTGAGGTATATTCTAGTAGATAGTGTGAAAGATTGTTACATCAGTCCTGTGCATAAATGTAGTTGGCAGATTTATCATAACATGAAGCCACTGATTTGTCCATCAGGTACATGTGCTCTTGTTTATTTTAGCAATGCTTCTTACATGTCTCTATCTGTATGTATTAGGAGGAATCTTGGTCCGTTTAATACTGCAAAGCAGATCAGCCTCGAAGAAGCACTAAAGAGCAATGATGTCAATGCGGCCTTCATTTGTACAGAAAATCAGAACCATGAAGAGAGCGTAAGGTAAGACAGGTTTTCTGTCATGTATGTGTGTGTGTATTGCTTAAAACTTGTAACATTAAACTCACAGTCATTGAAAGAGTTACTCACAAGCTGGAGTATTCACTAAACTGTGAAGATATTCACCTGGGAATAACGTTTTCTTAGGGTCTCCCTAGATTTTAAAACGGTAATCCAGACGTGGATCCCGAGCTCACTGTAACTAGATGAGGTCCACGATTGTCTGGGATTGCTACACCTCTTTTGCAGTAGGAACTTGCCAACACTTTAGATCTGAAGCATGCTTTTGAGTGGGATTAGTCTGATACAGAAACTGTATAAGTTCTCTAAGTAATGGTATTTTTTATTTTTTTATTTTTTTTAAACTGAGCAAGGATTTACTATTGAGATGCTAGTGATTATTGGGCTGCTTACAAAGTCGGACCACACCCTCGTAGGTTCACATAGCATTTGTTTATTGAAAGGGTTACACTGAAAGCAGCTTAGCGGAGAAATGCATTTCTGGCTTGGGGCAATACCAGCCACAACTTATAAAGTTGTTACACAATGATCTAAAAAACATGGTTAATAAAGCCAATACAAAAAAAAACCCAATAGGTTAATACATAATTATTATTGAAGCATACAATGAATGATTATGCTCTGACTCATTATTTTTGCAAACAAGGATATGGGAGGCACAGGAGAAATCCATAATCCATATCTAGGTTTTTTCAGACCACGCTTCAAGGTCAAGATATACTGTTCGTACAACAAGGTTTTCACAGTGAGAGAAGACAACAGACAAATGAAAAACAAAAAAATATAGGAGCTTTGTGTGTGCTTAGAAATAATGTCAAGCAAATTGGTGCATTAACCACTCTTTCCTAGTAAGCAGATGAACCTCCATTTTCCTCACTGAGGTGTCTCTGAACTTTTGCCCATTCTCAGAGTTCTAATCCCTTTTCGCTTCAATAGCATGCTTTAGACTAAAATCTATTTCTCCAAGTCAGCTATGTTTCCATCCTGGCTAGCATTTAGAGCATTATTTGGTTACATGAAGTTCCCAAAGATTTAGTAAATAGGCTTGTGTGAGTGACCCCACTAATCAGGCAAAAAAACTGGTCACAGTACATTTTATGGAGTTACTCACTAAGAAAGGGCTTGGCTAACCCCCCCCCCCGCCCCCGCCCCCCCAAATTAGAATCTAGTTGGGCAGCAGCCAATGGGCAAGTAGCTTAAAAATTAATCAACACACACAGAAGCCTGATTACTAACATTACCCTTCACACCTCCTTTCATTATATGGTTCCTCTTATGTTTTTTCACCGAATGAAGTCATTCCTGATTACAAGGAGCTCTGTGAGACTCTGGTTTGTGGCAATTTTTTATAATTTTTTTTTATATTTAACCACATGTCCATTGATTGATTTCCCAGCTACCGCCTAAATATTGTAGCTTTTTGTAGTTTCACCTGCAAAAAACTGGTGAAATTTTACATTTGCAAACCGGAGTGCTAATGTAACCGCTTAGAGGAAACTCTTCTGGTCTTTGCTAAAAGGAAAAAAAAATCATGTTTAAAGAACCTTAAAAACACCAAATTATTTAGAACCAGTTGTGCACATTAGGTGCAATTCACCAAATATACCTCAGGTGTCAATAGTGGGTGCTGCCATGTTTCTTCAGCTCCTGGAGCCGTGTTAGTGCTAAACTCTTGTTCGTGCAACAGTAATGTCTATGGAGGAGACCTAGGAAATCTCCATAGATCATGTTTGGCACATGCTTTGCCTTTTGTCAAGTTTTTTTCATTTTGAGGATTTAAACAAATAAGACAAACTAGAGTTTTCTTTGTCTTATATCTTTTTGACTGCATTGTCATTTCAGTTAAAGATTTTATCATTAAGAAACACTCATAATATTTTGGTGACAGGGCCACTTTAACTGTTTCTATATTACCATGCCTTATGGGGAAAAACATATCTATACAAATGGTAACTATCGGGGTTATTCACTAAAGTGAGAATTCAAAGAGAAGTTCACCTTATTAGGACAAAGTAGCCATACTGTAAGCATACTGAATTAGAGACTTTTTCCACTTTGGATATTTTGGACTTCTTTTGTAAATACCCTTTGATACTCACTTTGAATGCTGCTTTTTGTGAATATCCCTGTGAATTCTATTATGTGTTTGTTTTTGTTGACAACTAAAAAAATCCTCCTCTCGTCAAAAAGACTTTTCTTAGAGGCCGGGAAGCATGTTCTTGTGGAATACCCCATGGCACTGTCTGAAGAAGCAGCTCTTGAATTGTGGAGGTTGTCTGAGCAAAAAGGTAAATAACTACTCAACACAACATATAGTAAGATTGGCCACCTATTGTGTGCAACATGAGTGGACATGTCTCACCATTCATCTGTGCATTGTGTTGCTTTCAAAGGGAACAGCCCTTCCTGTTTTTTTGTTTTTGTTTTTTATATTGTGTTTCTTTCTTGAAATTAAACTTTGAAATCTACACCACCACTGTATTTAGCTCTATCCTGTGCCTGGACTGACCAGGATTGTGATATCAATTTCTAAATCTATAATATGCATTTGGAAAAAGTCTAGCATTGCATAAGCGAAAATAAGTGATTTGCAATGTTTTATTCACTGGTGGTAGTTAGCAGAAATATAACTGGTCCCCTTTGAAGAATTCATTTCTAGAATATTTTATCATGTTTTTTACGTAGCATTATACGCTCCTGTGCTAGTTGTTCTTTTGCTATTAATAGTTCCCTTCCATAAGGTTGATTAATACATTACTTGTAATATGAGCCCAAGTTCCAAATGTAGTTTACATTCACTAGAATAAGTTCTAGTTCAATCATTATTCAAAGTCTATTGAAAAACTGGGGATGCATTATTGCACATTCCCCCAAGCCCCCCCACCCTAGTTTCTGCATTATAGAAGAACTGCACACAAGTTATCTTGAAATATATAGCTACTTATTGGTTCACCCAGATGGAATCTAATATGTAATAAGAGTAACATTTTGAGATGCAATCTTATCCAGCGCCGCCATGTCCTCAACTTTTTGGGTGTCACTCTTCGGTAACACCCACCTCTGGTTCGCCATCACTTTTCCCACAGTCTCTTTTCATTTTACCTGCTTTGGACATTTCCCCAAGCAGGAAAAATGTCTTCTGTGATGCTGACATGCTTGTGTCCTTGCCAGCATGCTAGCGTCTGAACATTACTATACTCCCTAGCCAGCGGAAGCAGTGTTGGCTGGGAAGTTACCACGGCAAAGACCGTACATGCACTGTGGTTGCTATGGCTAGAGATCAGAAGGAGCACATGTGGGAGGTCTTTTTTGCTCTCCTTTGGCATAGTCAATGCCAAAGAACTGACAGGTGGGAGAAAGATCTATTGTTGAATAAGTTTGTCTCCCAAACTATGCCTTTACTAGCAAATCTGTTAGCAGAATGTATGAATAAAATGTTATGCTTTTTCAAAAGCGCATACGTTCTAGGTACTCTGATAGGTATCCTTTAAGAAAAGGTATCATTCATAATTCTTTGTTAGGTGTATGCATGTAGAGTGATTTTTCTTGCTTTTTGTGGGATGCTGTGATAGATGCAAATTTGCTCCTTATGCAATTAGTGTGTATCTTTAATTTGAAATGGTATTGAATGTATTGTAACTGTCCCTTGTTTATTGCAGGAAAAGTTCTGCATGTGGAACACATTGAACTTCTTACTGAGGAATACAAACAGCTAAAAAGGGAAGTGGAAGGGAAGAAGCTAGTGGAAGGAGCACTTCATTTCACTGGTGAGAGAGGTTCAGTTTAACGGACTGTTTCTACAGAGTTCACATGACTCAATTGATGTTCTTCATGTGTAAATTCACAATGAATAGAATACATGAACTCCACCATAACCATCTGGCCCAAACATAAAATAAAAAGGCAGGTCATTAGCTCTGGAAAAAGATGGGATAATAAATGGAATGATGTTACAATACCTCTGCACTACACCGGCCCAGTAACAGTTTGCTGCAGATTATGGGATCTGGCCCGCTGACTGCCAAACGACGCACCGGACAGCCAGGTTCTACACGCCGTTCCCGACAACTCCAATTGTAGTGATGTGTAACGTCACAATAGAGTGGGCCGCAAAGGAGCAGTGTGTAGAACGAATGCAAGCTGCTCCTTATAGCTCCCTCATAGCACCATGGATGGGGTGGTTGCTCCTAACGAGAGAGAGAGAGAGAGAGAGAGAGAGAGAGTGTGTGTGTGTGTACACACACACCAAATTAGAAGGCCATGTACTAAATTGATGAAAGATCAAAATTAGGAAACTGGCTTATTTCCTGTATTTGTTATTATTACCACTCTTATCATTATTACATTACATTTTTAGCTGTATAGACAAATGCAGTGCTTGATCCATACAGACATGGCATCCGGTCATTCATGTGAACAAAGGTTGCTGACCCCTAACTTTTAGACCCCTACTTGGAAGGGGCTTAAGGCAAAAATTAAAATGTAATCTTCAGCTACTAGTTGGATATTGTCAACAAATTCTTTTTTTTCTGCTGTCAGCCCATCACTGCTGCTTGAGCTGCAGACCGCACCAAGGGACCGCACTAAGTTAACCCTTTCTATAACTGTTAAACACAAGGTAAGATGGCACCAGCAGACCACAGACACCATAACATCTTCATAGTGGTGGCTATGGTGCAGTAGCGGTGCCCCATGTTAAGTATTTCAATTTAGCATGGCTTGGCACTTAGTAGAAAGTGAAGTTCCTTGTGACAGTGCAGCTTTAGGGGATATACACAACTAATGTCCTGGTTAGAGCAGATTTTAAATAAATCTGGGGAAATTCAGGTTCCCATACTTTGTAGTTTTTGTTTTGTATTAACTATGCAATAAAGGGGAAACTACTCATTTGACTGGACCGTTTCATGTACAAATATGAAAATATCCATTATTTTATAAACCTTTTTCTGTGTGCCCAATAATAATAAATCCTTTTCAAGTCTTCGCTAACTTTTTTTTTTTTTTTTCTTTCAGGTGGACCTCTAGATAAACAGCTTTCAGGGTTCCCTTCCTTTAGTGGTATTGCCAGACTGTCCTGGCTGGTTGACCTCTTTGGGGAACTTTCTGTCACATCAGCCAGTAAAGAGGAGCAGAAAGACCAGAATTATATGAAACTCACTGCACATTTTCTCACTGCAGAGAACAAGTAAGACTTTAAAGAATGGTTAAGATAATCAGGACTCTTTACTAAAGTGAGAATTGCCAGGAATTCAAACTGAATTTAAAATTTAAGGCCAAAATAGCCAAAATGAAAACTAAATGTATTTGGGGATTTTTAATTTATTTATTTTTAATTCTGCCATTTTAGCCTAACTTTTGAAAGTCACTTTGAATTCCTGGAATATCTCACTTTAGTGAATTTGCCCTGAAGTAGACAGACTGGAGTGCAAATTTTTCTAGAATATGCTGCAGGGTTTTGTCATTGACAACTGCAACTGCTACGATTAATGTTTTACAATTTCTTTTTAAGGAAATGTGGAATTCTTAAAGAAATAAAATGTCTTATACTATATCTATTTATACAAATAGTCATATGCAAAATTAGACTTTAGACATATCAGAGGAACCACCCTTCAAAGCATCTGCTTATGATTCAAGCTAGATATGGGGACTTGCCTCCTCTTTTCAGCCCCACATGAACCCAGTAGCACCGTTACATATATATATTGTGAGAGCCTGCAGAAAGCCCTGGTTCCATACATCTCTTACCGCTACAACAAAACATTCTGCCAAGCAAGTTGTGCCCTTTCTCTAAGAAGGAGCAGGACTTGTCTAATCCATCTCACTGCTGACGGGAATAAATAGGAACTTTACAGCATATCCACTATGCATGACTATCTCTGATATCGCCTGGGAGGGTTCATTAGTTTGGTTTTCTTTTTCTACCCAGGCCTGGATGTATATCACAGTTGGCCAGCTGCCACCTGCTTCAGTTGTTTCCAAGCACGTTTGGAACAAAATACAAATGGAAATAGTACAGCTCAAAATAAAAAAAGGTCCAACACTCATCAGTAGATGAACAAGGTTCCACCATAGTAGTAGGTCTTTCTCAAGACTTGAGAAATACCCGCTACTAGGCTGAAACATTGTTTAGTCCGCTGTGGGGATCTCAATAAATTTGGAGTGCTTTTCACCTACCAATGTATGTTAGACCTTTTTTTCATTTGGATTTGAAACTGATTGGTTGTGAAGCCAGGGTCTGTTTTTTTACTTTTGAGGAGTGAATCCATATATAGGTGGGTGCTATGGTTTCTGTATATTCTTTTTGTTGACCAAGGTGCACGTCAATGTGGGAAAAGTCACCAGGGCACACCTATTGTTTTTCTTTTTACCTTCATCAGCCGCTTATAAATGTCACATTTACACAAAGACTTATTAGAGAATTTTGCATACTTGTAACCAAATTGGCTACTTAGTTTGAATGATTTTTCAGATGAGAATCGCAACTTGAATTCAAACAATTATCAAAAACAAAAATACATATATCTAGGACGGCATTCAAACTGGGTTATTTACTAAAGTGAGAATTGTGGGGAATTCAAAGTGAAAGTACTTGCCATTTAACTTGAAGTAACTCAACATCTGTGAACAGCCAAACAGCTTCTGATATTAGGCCTTCACCGACATCTCCTACAGCCATAAGTTGAGGTGCCCTTTTGTCTTATACTATATCTATTTATACAAATAGTCATATGCAAAATAAGACTTTAGACATATCAGAGGAACCACCCTTCAAAGCAGATGCTTCTGATATTGTGGCATTGTACCCCTGAAAAAAAGTATGGTGTTGTCACAGCCCTCTTCCACTCTGTTATATTTCTCCTGAAAACCCAATTTAAAAATTCCAGTAAAATAATTGGATTGTCAGCTGTGGCAAGCAGATTCTTAATTTTTACATACTGCCTTTTATTTTCTTTTTAATGATTACTTTACCAATGATATGGATAATTTAGTAGATACATTTTTTTCTCTGTAGACCTCTCACCTGGATTGAAGAAAGGGCTCCTGGTTTGAAACGAGAGAAGAAAGTCCACTTTTCCTTCACATCTGGTGTTCTTGACACTCTCCCTCCAGCTCCCAGAGGGGCTGTGGGTCCCTTTTTGCAAGATCAGAATCTATTTGCAAAGAAGCTCCTCGGCCAGGTATCCAGAGAGGACCTTTCAGTAGAGAAGAAACGAATACTCCATTGCATTCATTTGGCTGAGAGGATTAGACAGTTGTGTGCCAAGTGAGATAATAGTGACATAGAACAAACCACTGAAAGGGATATGTCTGTGAGATTGTACTTAATGAAATGTATTGTTATTGACTCTTATTTTTTGAGAATTTGTGAAACATTTTAACACAGCATAGGTTTAGACACGATAAAGAAATGGCTAGCCTCTAGTCCCATTAAAATGCATTTGTGCTGTGCCTTATTGTAATACAAAATGTGCATTAACATCTAAATGAATGTAAAATCTGCAAACCTTTAACTATTTTTGCAACTTGCCAATGACTAGGCCATTAGACACGTAGCACTGATTGCTTGAAATATTATAATAACTTTATATCGTCTACTTTGATTAAACATTCAAATATCTGTACCAACCGTTACCAATAATGTACTAACATTCAGTTTCATCACAACAAACAAAAAATGAGTGAATTTAAAATAAGCACACTAGATGACTGAATGTTGGTAGAAGTAGAGGACATGGCAGCAGCAAAAAAATATTAAAAATCTGTTAATTTCAAAAGAAATAAAATAAATACAAAGTAGTAAACGATAGTCTCTGCCAGACACAGGTGAGAGTAACCGAATAAATAATAAAATAATAATAAACAATAGAGATACAGATGAAGCAAAATGGAGTAGTTAAAGCAACATGAAAAGTCTTAAATAGACCTTACCAATATAAGTGCACTCATAAGTATAAACATGACTGTTTTACAAGGCCGCAGGTGCTGTATTTGGTAATAGCTTAACATAGGAAACACTCAAACGAAGTCTTTTCAGTTGACTTGTAAAATGGTAAATTCTTCCTTTTTAAAGGGTATTCTAAGCACCGTTACCACCTCAGGATTCTAAAATGATATTGGTGTAAGGACCCTGCATGTGGAGCTTTGCAGTATAAAATGCGGCACATACATACATAGATATTTCATGTTGCTTCTGGAGCTCAACTTCCACCCCCTGCAGTCTTTGTTAGTCACTTCTGAATGAAAGGTCCATGCTGGCTAATGTCCGTTATGTGGGTTATTCTCTGCACAGAGCTTCATTCATTGGCTGAGAACACACACCCAAAGCCCTAAAGAAATAGAAATACACACACACACACACACACACACACACACTCTCTCCCTCTACCCCTACCCTACAGAACAATCACTACTTTTTATTTTTAGAAATGTAGCACATTAGTCAAACGTATTTTTTATTTATTTTTTTACTTTAAATGGGAACTTTACTGTTCCTGCAATTAATCATTTGTATCGGATATATCTGGGAATCTTAAAGGGTCACTCCTTGCAATTGATTACTTCTGTGATCTAATGTGGTCATGGTGCCTGGAGTCTGAATATGCATTTCAATTTGTAACACTGCACATAGAGAGATTAAATTCTTAGCTGTCAGAGGTGTAACTCCACAGTTCCAGGCTGGCTAATGTCAATTCTTTGCAAAATTGGAGTCTAACACCAGCACAACCAGCATGCGGGCACCAGTCAGTCAGCAGTGGCACAGCTTTCCTCTTCGATTTCCCTCCTGGATCAGGTTGTAGCGATAACTTGGAGTTGGCGATAAGTTGGGGGGTGGCGGATCACCCCAGGAAGGGTTACTATAACCAAAACAAGTGTTTTATGAGTACTGTTTTTTTGGTTGCAGGATCACTTTAAAAGCAAAGTAATTAATTGTTCTGTAGTTTTGTTTTTTTTTTCATTTTTTACCTTTTAAAGATACCTTATTTCCTTTAATAGGAAAAGCAGAAAAATACTTGATAACCCGTATAAAATATTGTTATTGTAATATAGCTTGGTTAAATGATGAAAATGAAAAGTCTGCATTGTTTCTTCAAGATGCTACAAAATTGCAGCTGTTAGAATCTGATTAAAAAAAATGTCATGTCAGCTATATTTCTCTTTAGAATAATCACTGGCGTTCTAGTTCTAAGGTATTACCTGGAATCTTTTTTTTTTTTTTTAAATGTAATCTTCTTTCTTGCACATTTTCTATACAGATATGCACATTACTTCACACTTTAAACTGCTGATGCAGCAGACACAACACATTTTAGAACGAAATCAAATGTTGCATTTGCAGTACAATTTCTTCTTCATTGATTTAGAGCCAATACCAAACGTCTTGTACCAATACTGATGATTGCATGATGATTACTGATTCATTGCATTCATAAATGCCTTCTTGTGAAATGTGTATGTTCATGGAGGAGTGTTGTGTTAACAAAGTTATATTTTTTTTTAATGAAAGTATAAATTTTGTGTTTTTTGTTTTTTTCTTCTATTAAGAAAGTGTTTTCCAAAGTAACAAACCCATGCTTTTTATTTATCATCTTTTATTAACTATTAAGAAACATTGCAATAATTGAATGAAAAATACTTCCTATAGTCTGTGCATTTGTGTTTACTTTCGTACATATAAAACAAATAAAAAAATAAAGCACAGGCTCGGAGTATGTTTGTTTTTAATAATTATGTCTAGTTTTGCTGTTGTGTTTTATGTTTTCATTTTATTTTTTATAATTAAACTTTTTTGGTTTACTTTCTCAACAATAATTGAGAGGTCTAAACTTCTGCTTCTGTCCTTGAGATCACTGTTCCATGCATTCGGTCATTAGTATAGTAACCCATCATTGGATATTTGAAAACCTGTCTTAAAATTTTCCTTATCGCATAAACTGCCTCTGTGATTTGTAGGAATAGCTGTGATAATGCATTATATGCATTGTAATGTAGAATTAAAAGATATGATGGAAGCTGTTAATAATTCATTTCAGCAGAAATTCTATTATATTGACAGTGCATTTCTGCTTTCTTTCCTCTAGATGGTGTGAGAAACATTTTGCAGAAAACCATGTGTATTATGTAAAATGTTCAGATTCACATGATGGCAATGGTTTTTTTTTAGACAGACTGTAAGAACATGTCTATACTATTTCTTTTGTAGTTTGTTGAATAGCCACTGGTACAGTAAATAATCATTTTAAGGTTATATCTCTAAAGTGTGACTTGCAAAGAATTCAATCTGAATTTCCAATGTTATGCCAAAATAGTCAAATGGTAAACAAGGCTAAAGGCCTTCACTCTGAATTAATTTTGAACTGCACACAATTCACACTTTTGTGAATAATCCTGCTTATTGTACAGTATTGCAGGGTAAAACTTACAAGGAAAGGTTAAAGGATCTTACCATGTATAGCTTGGAGGAAAGACGAGACGGGGGATTTTATAGAAACATTTAAATACATAAAGGGAATCAACACAGTAAAGGAGGAGACTATATTTAAAAGAGGAAAAACTACCACAACAAGAGGACATAAAATTAGAGGTACAAAGGTTTAAAAATAATATCAGGAAGTATTACTTTACTGAGAGGGTAGTGGATGCATGGAATAGCCTTCCAGCTGAAGTGGTAGAGGTTAACACAGTAAAGGAGTTTAAGCATGCGTGGGATAAGGCTATCCTAACTATAAGATAAGGCCAGGGACTAATGAAAGTATTTAGAAAATTGGGCAGACTAGATGGGCCGAATGGTTCTTATCTGCCGTCACATTCTATGTTTCTATAATATTAAACAACATGTATGGGTAGAACATTGGCTTAAAAACAGAGTACAAAGAGTTGTCATTAATGGTAAATTTTCAAGCTGGACAGAGGTGGCAAGTGGTGTCCCTCAGGGGTCTGTTCTGGGACCCCTTCTATTTAACATGTTTATAAATGATCTTGAAGACCCCATTGAAAGTCATGTTTCAGTGTTTGCAGATGACACCAAACTTTGTAAAACAATACAATGTGAGCAAGATATTACTTTGCTGCAGAGGGATTTAGATAGATTGGGGGACTGGGCACTCAAATGGCTGATGAAATTTAATGTTGAAAAATGCAAAGTTATGCACTTTGGCGTAAAGAATACACAAGCAACGTATACCCTTAATGGAAGCGAATTAGGGATAACAACACATGAAAAGGACTTGGGAATTGTTATAGACAACAAACTATACAACAATGTGCAATGTCAATCAGCAGTGGCCAAGGCCAGTAAGGTATTGTCATGCATGAAAAAGGGCATTCATTCTCGGGACAAGAATATAATTTTGCCTCTTTATAAATCACTGGTAAGATTTTGCAATTTTGGGCACCTGTTCTTTTTTTTTTTTTTTTTTTTTTTATCAGCAACAAGATTAGACAGTATGTCCCCACTACTTAACATACAATCGTGCCCAGACAAAGCATGCTTGCTGGAAGTACAGGCGCACCCAATGGATGAACAGTAGGGAAGGGAACGGTACATGGCCAATTACATAGCTAAATTAGAAAGCGCCCCCACGAGGGATACATACGTCATTAAAAACCCGTCAAATTAACATTGTACGTTGTACAGTCCTGAGCTAGTAACGGCCAGAAACGGTGTAGGGCCCTTAGAGGCAACCAGAAGCGTCTACTCTACGTCTTGCTAAAGGACATTGTGTAGAAGTATGATCGTGTGTTCTTGCGGGATACCTTTGGAGCTACTTAGGCCCGGCAGCACAGGGGCAAGGGGCCCGAACGGCCAAGTTCAGCTGTAAGCCGTGTGGCACCTGCAACAAGGAGGTCTGGGCGGGCTCTTAGTGTCGTGCCCGATGCGCCAGTAGTCTTTGGCCGCGAGAAAATCCCCCCCCGCCCCTGGTGTCCACCTATCTGGCTTGCTATAACTTGGGCAAATACGCTAACTCTAAGCTTGTGTAAACTATCAGTGCTTTTGGAGGCTATACTTGTGATAACTAGTGAGAAGGCCCTTATCCAGAGTGGGGGCCAGAATAAGAGAGAGAGAAAGTGGAAAAGTATAGAAAAGGGAGGAGCAAGAGAGCCCTAGAGGGGAGGGGGCAAGGGTAGACCAGGCACGGGACCCACCGGGCGGGGGAGCAAGGGGGAGGGGAGGCGGGAGAGACAGCAGGCAACACCGCCCCCGATGCAGCGCCGCACCCCTCAGTCCGCCAAGGGGCACTCCCTCCACAGTCCCCATGTCTTCTCAAATTTCCTCTGGGTGCCTCGCACCCTGGCAGTCAGGTCATCCATGAGATAACTGTCCTTTATTTTCCCCAGAACTAATGACAGAGGGGGGGGCTGCATCTTAAGCCAATCTTGTGCGATGGCCCGCCGGGCTGCTGGTGTAATTTTATTAAATAGTTTTAGGTCGCCTTTTGGCCAGCCATCTATCGGTCTGCCTAGAAGAAATGTCCATGGGTCAAGGGCCGGGGTCCTCTGGAAGACCTGGGCCGCCAAACCTCTGATCTCCCCCCAAAGCTTTTGTATGATGGGGCACTCCCACCACATGTGGATGTAAGTTCCTCTAAGACCACAGTTCCTCCAGCATAAGTCCGTGGGCGATTTGCGCATGCGGTGCAATTGTATGGGGGTGGTGTACCATCTAAAGAGGGTCTTGTATGACTGCTCCTGTGTAGAGACACAAATGGAGGATGTGGCTGTCGCCCCCCATATCTCCTGCCACTCCACCCCCTCCAGCACCTCACCCAGGTCCCTCTCCCAATGACCAACGTATGTCAGGTTGCCCCATTCCTTGGTCTCCGCACATATGTGGGCATACAACATCGTGATAAGGCCTTTAGGGGATTGCTCACGTAAACAAATGTTTTCATAAAAGGAGGGGGCGGTGTGCGCTGCCCTGTGTACAAGCGGTTGTCTAGTGTAATCCGCTACTTGGAGATTTCTAAAGAAGTCGGCCGGGGTTAAATGATGTTCCCGTTGCAGGGTGTCAAAGGGGATGATAGATCCGCTGACATACAACTGGTAAGCCCTCTGCAGGCCCGCCCGTTCTATGCCACGGAACTCTCGGGCCGCCAGACCGGGAGGAAAGGCCCTATTTCTAAGGAATGGCATAAGGGGGGACGGGGAGGAAGCGAGCCGATATTTCTGGGATACCCTGTCCCAGATGTGGATGGAATTGAGGATGGCCGGACAGGCTGTGCGCAGCATGGGTCGGAGGTCTTTGAGCACCCAGATGAGATACTGTGGGAGATCTGATCCTGTGAGCAATGATTCCAGCTCTACCCATTTCCTTGTGTCTATTGGGGAGTGCCACATCGCGATCTGGGCCAGCTGGGCAGCTAAGTAATAATTATGCAGGTGAGGCAGACCAAGTCCCCCCAGCCGTTTCGGGCGATACAGGATGTTTCTTGACACACGGTGTCGTTTGTTTTGCCATATAAAATTGCCTATGGCTTTTTGGAGGTGGGCCAGGTCTGTTTTGGTCAGAGGGAGGGGGAGGGCCTGGAAGAGGAAAATAATTCTGGGGAGGACATTCATCTTAACTGAATGGATCCGCCCCAGCCAGGAGATGGGCTTATCGACCCAATTCTCCATGTCTCTAATTAGGGTGGCTATGAGGGGGGGGTAATTGTATTCGTGCATCTTGGACGGGTCTGCAGTCAACTGGACTCCCAAATACGTGATAGAGTGTGTCTCTACCTGAATGCCGTAATCCCTTTGTATGCCTGCTATAATGTCTGGTGATATTCCAATAGGTAGGGCACTAGACTTGGACATGTTGGGTTTGTAGCCGGAAAGCGGGCTGAAGCGTAGTAGGGTCTCTTGTACCGCCCTCATGGAGACGACCGGTGACGTTAGGGACAGAAGTACGTCATCGGCATATGCAGAGACCAGGAATACCCTTCCCCTTACAGTTACTCCCTGAATATCCGGGTGTAGGCGCAATGCCTGCAGGAGCGGTTCCAGTACAAGGGCAAAGAGAAGAGGGGAGAGTGGGCACCCCTGTCTCGTACCGTTGGTCAATGGGAACAGCTCCAGGCGGGCCCCGGGGACAAGCACCTGTGCCGTGACCCCGTGATATAGGGCGCGGATGGTCTGAATGTACTGATTCGGGAATCCCAGGTGATCAAGGAGTGTGAACATGTACAGCCATTTTACCCGATCAAAAGCTTTTTCAGCATCTAAGGATAACATGATAGTGGGGGTTTTGTTGTTGTGCTGTCGCCATATGATATCAAAGGATTTGCGGGTATTTTCAAAAAGTTGCCTCCCAGGTATAAAACCTACCTGGTCGGCGTCCACAAGCGAACCAAGAAAAGGGTTAAGTCTTTCCGCCAGAATTTTGGCGAGTAGTTTCGCATCGTGGTTAATGAGCGATATCGGTCTATAGTTCCCTGGGTGTTGGGGGTCCTTGCCCTGTTTCGGGATCAGTACAATGTTGGCGAGAGTGAAATCGTTATCCGGGAGGCCGCCTGTCCGGAGGTCGTTAAAGAGGTTCGTTAGGTGTGGGGTCAGGATTTCCTTAAAAGTCTTATAGTAGCAACCATTAAAGCCGTCGGGGCCTGGGGCTTTATTACCGTGAAGTTTTGTGATTGCTCTGTCTACTTCGTCCGTCGTAATTTCAGAGCCCAGGACCGCTATTGCTTCCGGGGTCAGTCCGGGCAGGTCCAACTGTCGTAGGAAAGCGGAGGTTGCTTCGACCTCGCTCGCCTGCTGTGATACGGTGGAAAGGGAGTGGTTATAGAGGGACCTAAAATAGTCAGTAAAAATCGAGGCTATGTCGGATGTGGCTGTCTTTACGGTCCCGTCAGGGTGTTTCAGCGATGCAATATGGTGACGCGCCGGTCTTGGTCTCAGCATGCGGGCTAGGAGGGTGTCCATTTTGTTCGCCTTCTCATAGTAGGTCCGTCTGGACCAGAGAAGGCTGCGGGTCGCGTCGTCCAGGAGAAGCTCCCGTACCGCCCGCCTAGCCGTGTTTAGCTGATCCAGCGTGGACGCAGTGGGAGAGGTTTTGTGACATTGTTCCCTCGCGCGCAGGGCCTCCATTAGCTCCCGAAGGCGCTGCATTTTCGCTTTTTTCTTGTGGGTGGCTAATTTTATACATGAGCCTCTGATGACCGCCTTATGCGCGGCCAAGAGTGTGCCCTGGGTGACGTCGGGGGAGGCATTGGTGACGAAGTAGGAAGTCAGATTTTCACTAATGGAAGCCACGTTCTGAGGGTCATTAAGGAGGGAGGCGTTGAGCCGCCATGTCCAAGAGGGAGCTGTGCCGATGTGCCGCAGGCAGATATGTACGTCCGCGTGGTCCGACCAAGTGATACTACCGATGCTAGTGTGTGAGACCTTGGGGACGGCAATACTATTGATCAGAAAGAAGTCAATACGGGAGTACGTGTGGTGGGGGGCTGAGAAGAAAGTGTAGTCAATGTCTCCCGGGTGCTGTGCTCTCCAGATGTCTATGAGGCCCGTCGCCCTGACAAAACTGTGGAAGGCCCGGTCCTGCGCACCCCTACCCTGCGAGCGGGGCAGTCCCGCCCTCGTGCTTCTGTCCGCAGCCGGGCACGGAGCTGCGTTGAAGTCACCCCCTAGGACCTGAATGCCGTGCGGGAGGGACTGTAACCTCTCCTCCAGAGTTTTCCAAAAGTCCCCCTCTGGCACATTTGGGGCATAGACGTTTATGAGGTGGAGGACCTGTGTGTGGAGGGTGCCGGAGAGGATGAGGTACCTGCCACTACTGTTGCCCTCTATAGCTGAGACCCTTAGGGGGCAGTCGTGCCTGAGCAAAATCGCCACGCCATTGCGCTTGTTGATAGCCCTAGCCTCATATACGGTATTGTAAACGTGGTCCCTAAGGGTAATTGTCGCGTGCCTAGGCAAGTGGGTCTCCTGAATGAAAGCAATATCGGGGTGCATGCGCTTCAGGTCGCGAAATAGCAGGCGCCTCTTTTTGGGGGAGTTAAGGCCCTTGACATTCAGGGTGGTCAGTTTAAGCGTCATGACTGTATCCCATGAACCCCGCTAAGGTCGCCCGCCGCCCCCCTGGGACGGAGCTTTAGCCTCGTGCGTCCAGCTCGGTCGGTGGTCAGGCCACGCCCCCTGGGCACCTGTTCTAAAGAAGGATATTATGGCACTAGAAAAAGTGCAGAGGCGGGCTACAAAATTAATAAAAGGAATGGAACATATATGAAGAAAGGTTAACAAATTTAAACCTATTTATTTTAGAAAAATGTCGCCTGAGAGGGGATATGATAACATTATACAAATATATTCGGGGCCAATACAAACCATTGTGTGGAAATCTATTCACAAACCGGACTTTACATAGGACACGAGGCCATGCGTTTAGACTGGAAGAAAGAAGATTTCGCCTAAGGCAAAGGAAAGGTTTTTTTACTGTAAGAACAATCAGGATGTGGAATTCTCTGCCTGAGGAAGTGGTTTTATCAGAGTCCATACAGATGTTCAAACGGCTACTAGATGCATACTTGCAAGAACAGAATATTCAAGGATATAATCTTTCAATGTAGGGTAATAACTGCTTGATCCAAGGATCCAAGGATAAATCTGACTGCCATTCTGGGGCCAAGAAGGAATTTTTTTCCTAGCTTGTTGCAAAATTGTGCTTCAAACTGGTTTTTTTTGCCTTCTTTTGGGTCAACAGCAAAAAACAAATGTGAGGTAGGCTGAACTTGATGGACGCAAGTCTCTTTTCAGCTATGTAACTATGTAACTATGTAACATGTAAATTGTAAAATGTTTATTTTTAGAGACTTATACTGATCAAACCACAACATTACAACCACCTCCCTATGATCTCCTCCTTGCTGCTAAAACTGCTCTGGCCTAGACTCAAGGCATGGACTCCACAAAACCTCTGAATGTGTCCTGTGGTATCGATCACCAAGACATTAGAAGCAGATCCTTTATATCCTGCAAGTTTTGAGGTGGGGCCTCCATGAATCAGATTTGTTCCAGAACATCCCACAGATGCTCTGATGCACAGATGTCCTGGGGAATTTAGAGTGTAAAGCAACACCTTGAACTCTGTCAGGTTTCTTAAACCATTCCTTAGCAATTTTTGCAGTATGTCGGTGTATTCTGCTGAAAGAGGCTACTGCCATTGTCCTTCATTGCACCACTTTTGGTATGTACTAACCACAGCATACCAGAAACAACCCACAGAATTTGCCAGACGGAGATGCTCTGGTCGTCATCTAGCCATCACTGTTTGGCCCTTGTCAAAGTCGCTCAGATATTTTGCTTGCCCATTTTTCCTGTATCCAACACATGGAATTCAAGAACTGATTGTTCACTTGCTGCCTAATATATCCCAACCCTTAACAGGTGTCTTTGTAATATAATCAATGTTATTCACCTGGCAGTGGTTTTAATGTTGTGGCTGATCAATGTACCTATTCTATGAAATATAATGGCTGATACGATAGGTCAGTATTTGTAGACCTTGCCCCCTACTCAGTATTATATGAATAGCAAGCTTTAGTACACAGTGAATAAGAAGAACGAGACCTGGTTTGCATGACACCTGTCCTGAACCCATTTTTGGAAAATGTGAGACCCATGTCTAGACTGCAATATATACCCATCACTACATGCACAGAATCCCTTTGTCTGTAACCCATGAAGCTATGAGAGCAGCTCAGTTCAATTTTGAGGAAGAAAAGGAACCCTGTGCACGTACCTTAAAGGGACACAAACAACATTTGCTTAATTAAGCAGTTTGGTTGTGTAGATCATGCCCCTGCAGTTTCACTGCTCATTTCTCTGCCATTTAAGAATTAAGTCACTAGTTTCTGTACATGCAGCCATAGCCTGCATGAAAAAAAAGTTTCATTTTCAATCAGATGTTAACTTACATTAGAAGTTTTAAGGATGGATACCAGAGTGACATGGTGGGAGGGGGGTATTTTGGAAATCAGCGCAGCAAGTAAATCTCACCTTTTAAACCCTCACAGGTTAATAAGTATGTAGGGGTTTAGAAAAATATCCCTGTCTGTCTCAATAGAAATGTATTTGCCTGAAGCTCAAGGAAGCAATGTGAGTTGTTAGTGTGGGACTCACCTAAGAGGCTTGCCTTGATGTGGCAGGTGGGCTTACACCTAATGGCTATTGAAGTTCCCAAATAACCTCCATTTATATAAATATGGATAGGGATTTGGGAAGTGAGCAGGTAAGTCTTTTTTTATTTTTTTTTTACTGTATGTATTGGGGCTGATGTGTACTATGGTCGTTGCTGTCACCCAAGAGTAGTGGGAGTTTGAGCGCAGGACTTATTTTTGTGTATTAGCAAGCTTACAAGCCTATCAGCTTCTATATTTCAGCAATTGTTACTAAGGATGTGCATGGGGAAAATATTCGGTTCGGCATTCCGAAATTCGTGACTTCGGAATTTCAGAACTTTACAGCCACTTAGTAGATTACTCCCTAATGCACACGGTATTAGGGAGCTATCTACCAAAAGGCTGAAAGACCTAAATAGTTCTTTCAGCCAAATTTATTAATACTAAGTAAAAACTATGAATGTGTTACTTGATTGTTGTAAGTGTTGCAAATGCTTACTGCCGAATCCTGGCTATGTCTGTATACTTTTTATTTAAACTGGTATACAGTGTAACATTCTTCATTCTTCTACTGGGTATATTAGTACTTCAGCAATTCTGTGCTTTGGAACTTCGGCAATTCAGCTATTCGGACATTCGGAAGCATCCGAATTTCCCGAAATTCGTCCAAACTGACATTCGGAACGAAACGAATTGCACATGTCTAATTGGTATCTAACATTGCAGTGATTTGTGTTTGTTATTTAATTTCTGTTAACAAATAGCCCACACCCAGTGGCATCATAATTTAAGTGTGTTAGGCATTAGACATAGCCTGTTAGTCTCCTTGCAAGTACAGCTGGTATAGTTATCTTTTTTTTAATAGTTTTTAATATATCATTTGCCGCACTTCACATGTATTAATCTATGCCTTTACTTTCTTGTTTTCTAATGGACATTGAGCTTGTTTATATGATGCTAAAATGTGCAGTACATAGGAGTGCCATGCAACTCTATACTGTAATGGTCTGCTGTGTTTTACTTGTTGCTGTTTTCTTGTATTTTCCTGCACGTCACAAATAAAGAATTATAAAAAAAATATTAAGGCATTAAGATTTTTTAAATTACATTTTATACTGCTTTTTTAAATATGACACAATGCAGCACATATTCAAACAGTTTGATGTAGCATTCAACAATTTATATAAAGGAGTATTATTATTATTGTGAATGTGCAAATTACATATTACAAAAGAACAGAAAAGAGAAAAAAACTGCGAAATAAAAAACCTAAATCAGCTTTGCAGACCGCATAAAACTAATACATATAGGCCAGCTATACAAAGACGCGCATTATAAACCCAACTCATTATATTACTATCTTTAATAATAGATCAGAAATATCTTACCGATGGGCAGAGCGAATAGAACTGTATTAGAGAATTCTCAATGCGGATACTTCAAATGTCTTAGCAAAATGCTTTGAATGGAGACCTTTATTAATTAAATCATGCCTGCTAGATCCACTAAGTAAACGCTAATTATGTCCAAGGGCACTTGAATGTCTTTTTAGTCAAGAAAACTGAATATATGGGGAAAAAAGCAGGGATGTCTTAAATTATTGCGTTTTCATGAAAATACACATAATAGGAAGTAAAGCATCACATAATGTTGACGTAATATGTATTTTTAGATATTGATATATTAACAAGATAATATTATACTGTATGGACAAAATAAACTAAAATAAGTGAATCCAACAAGCAAGTAACAAAAGTGTGAATATGGTGGAACAAGCATGCAGATAATGGTGAGAAAAGGTTGTAGGAGCCATAGTTTAAAGGGACACTGCAAGCACCATAACTACTACACCTCAAGGACCCCCAGGTAAGAAGTCACACTGTTCAAAAATGGTTTGGCCCCCTAGAATGGGAGGTGTCAAAGAAGTCCTGGCACCATAACTACTACAGCTAGCTGTAAGTGATATTAGTGGTTTGGTGAATTTCCTTTAGTGGAGCCACAACAAACATTTTTATTTTATGCTTGATATAGACTTCTGAAATGGAACTTGAGATAGAACGAAGAATTGTCTCTCAATGGTGGTCCACGTTTGTGATATAACTCATTGTAAGAACACTGTGGCAGAAGGATGGGAAATGATTTGTCCAAGTATTGAAATGGAAAAGGCACATCATGCTTACTCTGATCACCTTGTCTTAAACAGTCAACTTCGTGTACCAATATAACATGTAGATTCAACACCGAATTGTAATGTATTGAAAACAAGTGGCAATATTTAGGCAGAAATGTGCTGATTTACAAAACAAACTCCCACTTTGCTGTAGTCATGGCTTGGGTATTTAAGCTTAGAATTTGTAATATAAGTGAATAAACACTGTAATGTCATAAACAGATGTGGCCTGACCAACAATTTGCATCTAACAAGTGGGTACCTGGAATGTTCTTTTAAAAGCAAAAAAAATGCCACTTATATAATGTCTTACACAGTTATGTTTAAAGGGACACTATAATCACCAGAACAACTATAGCTTAATGTAGTTGTTCTGCTGATTATAATAGCTCCCTTCGGGTATTTTCATGTAAACACTGCCTTTTCAGAGACACCTAGGGACACCTCCAAGTGGCCACTCCTTAGATGGCCACTGGAGGAGATTCCTGGCTCAGGGCTGCCCAGTAAGCAGCTCTGCCGTTCAGCGTTCCCCATGCTCTGCATGGAGACACTGAATTTTCCTCATAGAAATGCATTGATTCAATGCATCGCTATAAGGAGGTCCTGATTGGCTAAAACAGCATTTGGCTCCGCCCTGTGTTGATTTTAGCCAATCCAATGCTTTCCCCATGGGAAAGCATTGGATTGGAAAAAATCTGCCATTTTGATGATGTCACAAATGGGGCAGAGGCAGCTGGAAATAAGGTGAATTTTAAACTTTTATAGGGGGCTAAGGGAGGGACAAGGCACCTAAATTGTGGGTTTAGCACTCTAGGGTCAGGAATACATGTTTGTGTTCCTGACCCTATAGTGATCCTAAGATTAACTTGTTATTTTTTTCAAATCAGTCACACAATATTTTTTGTGATCAATCCACCTAAACACCAGTGAATTGTGTAAAATGTAGATACTTAACTTAGGTATACAGCCTCCCAAGGTTACATCCCAGGTAGTAACCAATCCCCCAAATAATTTAGGGATCCTTCTGCTGTACCTAAAATTAAGGACACAACAGTGCAAATATTGTTTGATGTATATGTATAAAACAATGACACAGTTGCACTCACAAATTTCCGATGTAACAAGTGCCTTATGGGTGCCACCCACGATATCAAATAGGGGGCTATCCACCAAGCCAGAAGAATGAAGATCCAGCACACAGAAAAACACTCCGAAGATGTCTTCTCTCCAAAAGAATATTATTTATTCGATACAAAATTGCACAAATACATCGTAGCAGCAGTGGGCGCAAAGCTATACTCCAGGTTTGAAACTAGCCAGGGGCACCATCTTTGCATCTATCTTTAACTAAACTTAGCTGTTGAAAGTGGATTGGCTGAACAGTTTGACCAACAAAGAAATCCTAGTAAAAAAAAAAAAAAAATCCAAATGTGGAAATGTTATATTCCTACCTTGAGCAATTCCTTTCAGCCCAGGATCAAAGCAACCCTAGAGCAGTGTTTCCCAACCCAGTCCTCAAGGCACATCTACCAGTCCAGGATTTAGGGATTACCCAGTTGTGTCTAAGGTGTTTTTACAAAGAAGAAAAAAAACACCTTAGACACAACTGGGTAATCCCTAAATCCTGGACTGGTAGGTGTGCCTTGAGGACTGGGTTGGGAAACACTGCCCTAGAGAACACGGCATGGTTGTTGGCAGAGGTGGTCATGACACTTTACAAAATATATCTTAAGATATGATTTATCCATAACTACTTACACTGCTTGGGCAGTATTTTATGGGCGGGGTGCACTCTGTGGTGCTGGCAAATTGTTACTAGTTTTAGGGTTTACTGGGCCAATTGCTTTTTTACATAACAGGATATGTACTGCGATTTATTGCCCTACTTCCAGGTCGGGTGACTGCAACCTGCCTAAAACAATAATATACGTATCATAAAAGAGATCAAGGTCTCACTAGACCCTACCAATTTTATTACCAATATTAATTGTTCTGGGAGAGAGGAAGGAAGAACACCGGTGTCAATGGGACCAGCAGAGGGCTACATGTTAAGGTTATTATGTTATATTTTTTTACCATTATTTAGTTTTAATTTTCTTTGTAATTAAGAATTTACACTCAACATGTTTGGAATATTAAATATTATATAACAATATCACAAACGTACCTAACTTGTCAAAATATTTATTATTCACTGTTTGTCATCAGTGTAATTGCTAACATCTGAAAAAAAAAAAAAAATGCTTTCTATTCCAGCTGTATGCACAATAATACACTGGAGGTGGGCATGCTGCCAATTAGAGATGTCGCGAACCGTCCGCGAACATGCTGTCCAGGAAGTAGGAGGGTCTGGGAGGGAGGGTCTGCTGGAGATTGGCCGGGACGTGTCAGCTGACCGGAGTTCGCCGCGAACAGCTCGAGACAAACCGCGGCGAACCGTTCGCGAGAAGTTTGCCGACGGTTCGCGACATCTCTACTGCCAATGTGTATTTTAATGTTTATTCATTAAAGCAGAAATTGTATAAAATCAGTTCAAACTCAGCTATTTTTCCCGCTTGTCTATTTTAGCCTACAATTTGCAATCATCATCTTTTTTTCTTTTTTTTTAGTTTATTCTTTTTATTGAGGCAAATCGGTGTTAAAAAAAATACATAAGGCAAAGTCCAACAAGCATTAGTAAAAGTACTCCAGTGGATAATATAAAGACTCCTGTTAGAATTGTAAAAGACAAAATAAACTGTGCACATGGACAACTTATAGTAAATTGGACAGCAATTCCTGCACTTAATTGGCTAGATCTGAATGTGCTTCAACCAGGTTTGTATTAGTCATATAAAAAACAAACAAAAAAACAAAAAAAACAGGGAGACACATTATGTAAAGGAAAATGCAGGTAGCCAAATCTAATATACATGTGCGGGATATACTCCATGGTTGTATAATATAATGAACCTAGAGGTGATATATAGTGATATTCTGTGTTCAGGCGCTTAAAAGGTGGAAAAGATTACATGAGCTGCTACTACCAATGTGTAATCCTCTCACAGCTTAACACAAGAATGTAAAATGTGATGATAGACTTTGTGGTGAAAAACCAACACCAGTCAATAGGTGGAGCGCTCAAGAGTTACACGTGAATGACTCACCTCTCCCCTCTCTTGGGTATATTTATAATAACCTAGAGGTAGGGATTGAGATAAAGAATACAATCGTGTGATTCGTTAAACAACAGTGAAGTGGTGTTAAAAATATATAGACCCACTCACATGGTGCTGAGCCTCAGCAGGACAGGCTCAGATCACTTAGGCAGTGTTTTAGGGGTAACACGAAACCAACAGTTGGTGAAAATCGTACTGTTCCTTTAAAGGTAGAAAAAACTAAATTGCCATTCATCTATATACTATACCATGTCTGTTTTTTTTTCTACCTTTAAAGGAACAGTACGATTTTCACCAACTGTTGGTTTCGTGTTACCCCTAAAACACGCCTGCCATGCCATGTGAGTGGGTCTATATATTTTTAACACCACTTCACTGTTGTTTAACGTATCACATGATTGTATTCTTTAACTCAATCCCTACCTCTAGGTTATTATAAATATACCCAAGAGAGGGGGGAGGTGAGTCATTCTCTTGAGCGCTCCACCTATTG